AAAGTTCAAGTCTGATCAGATGGAGAGGGTTGGCCGGTATGCAGCGGAGCGTGGACTCGATGTGCCTCGGGCCGGTGGTGCAAAGGGAGGAGAGGAGGGCCAGCGTCCGGTGGAGGGAGGGGGCATGGGAGATGGTGGGCAGGGTGCGCCCGACCGCCCATTGGGGGGTGGAGGCGGTAACAGGGAGGAGGACGTGATTCACGTCGATCGCGAGGCGTGTGGCCCGGGCGAGGAGGGATTCTCGGGACACTAGGACGTGCTAGAGTTTCATCCAGCGACTGGGGATAAGATGGTGGACTGGGTGCGGCGAGCAGGCAAGGGACAGGTGCGTGCAACGGAGGGTACGAGGGGGAAGGGTCCTTTAAAGAGGAAGGAAGGAGGAGCTGATCCGGCTGCCACCCAAGCTAGAAAGAGGCTTCGCCAACAGAAGGTGATTGAGGTCTACGGTGGCAAGTGGGTTGCTCGCAACAAGAAGACCTTCCTTCGCAGGCTTTATTACAGCGGGGTCTCCTTCAATGCCTTCCGCAACCAGGCATGGAAGGCATATCAACACGTGCTTCTTAAGCAATCTGGCAGTTCGTCGCGCGTTGTGTTCCTCAGCGAGATTGCGAGCATGCGGGCGGTGGAAACCCACCGTGCAGAGTTGGCGGAGGAATTGGAGGAGGTGAGGCAGCCATTCTGGGTGACTGGTGCCACCATCCTTTCGGGGAAATCATGAGACGGGAAACCGATCGTGAATTTCCTTGCAGCAGGCTTGTGAGGGGTCGTCATGAACATGATGATCAATCGAGAGGGGGAGTCGTACGATGTAAAGCACGTCCTTCGGAGATGGGTTACCATCTTCCACAAGTTCAAGTTCGGTGGGCCACAGCGGGTCAATGCGATATGCACTGACTCCACGCCAGCGTGCGTGGGGGTTGCAAGGGCAATGACCTCGCCAACCATGCCTCTTGCACTGAGGAGGATCACTTGGCTCCCGTGCTCCGTCCATGTCCGCAACAAATTGTTGTCAGACATGGGGATGAGTTGGGACGCGTTTGTGGACACAATCAGACATGCTCGTGTGCTAGTGGTGTTTTTTAAAACCCACCAGGCCGCCCTTCATTTTTTTAGGAAGCGCAGCCCCGACAAGGGGCTTGTTCTTTCCTGCGAGACGTTGTTTGCGTCTGTTTATTCCATGTTGGAGAGGCTGTTGGCTTTGCAGGATACTTTGCAGGGCATGATGCGAGGGGACGACTCGTGGGCTTTTGCTTCCATCCCGTGGTCTGTTGATGTGTGCATCATGGCCCGTTGGGTGCGCCGACAAATCGGATGGGAACCTTGGTGCTTGGCTTGTGAGGCAAGCCAAGAAGTACATTCTTACGTAGACGGGTTTCGAGTTAAACGGTGCGGATTGCATCGTTGCCTGTCGTTTGTTTGAGGGACTTCCACATGCAGCAGGGCAGGTTTGGCGATTGGGGCGGGGCGGAGGGGTATGCTCGTGGGTGCGCGTGTAGCGGTAACGCCGAGACAATCGAGTGCGCGTCTTGGTGGTCCCAGTACGGGGCTGACGAACCTGAGTTGCAGCGGTGCTCTCTTCGTGTAATGCACATGTGGTCCTGCGTCTCTCCAGTGGAAAGGAACTGGTCAGTCCACGAGGGCGTCCACACGAAGAAGCGCAACCAGTTGACCTTTGAGAAGGTCGTGCAACTCATTGAGATCACCGCAAATGTGCGGTTGACAGAGTATCAACGGGCAGGATGTGGTTATGTGCTTCCATGGCAGCAAGACGAGGGCATGCTCGACTGCCACGCAGGACTGAACGTAGCGCATGGGCACGCGCAGAGGGATGACGCAGGACAAGATTGCCCAGCAGGTTGCGCTTATTACGCACGATCCCATTCAATTTGGGGCTTCCGCACCGCCTTCTGCTGATGCAGTTTTTGATAGACGTGCTTGCATTTTTCGTCCCTACCCCAGGGACGATGACTCGGATGAGGAGTTGATACCCGAGGCAGCAGATGACCCTGCACTCCGCATTCCCTGCGAGATTGATGAGACGCATGACTACCCCGACGACGTGAAGACGTGGACACACAACGCACGACGGGCAGAGGACCGGGCGGACAGGGAGATGCTGGGGGGAGACGAGGATTTTTGGGGCCCTTTTAGGGAGGTGGCTTTCACGAGTGATGTGCGCAATGACAGAGCCAGGGGCTCACATGCAGGCATGAGCCGCACAGAGGCGCGGATGACGACTCTTACTCCGACGAGGCTAGAGTCGTCCATGCCGCCACCTCTTGCTCCGAGTCTTGCACTGCCTGTCTTGCCACTTGAGCCGGCCACAGCAGCGGTGGACACAGAGGAGTTGGCATCCTCCTTGCCTCAGCACGGACTTATGCAGAGATATGGGGTGATCCGCCAGTTGTGGTTACGATCACCTTCCCCAAAGGTCTTGCAGGAGGAGGAGGTACCATCAGCAACACCAGTGGAGGGGGAGGTAGCAGCAACGGAGGGTAGTAGCAGCAGCAGCAGCAGTGGAGGGAGAGGAGGTAGCGATAACAGTGGAGGGGGAGGTAGTAGGAGCAGCAACAGAGGAGGAGGAGGTACCATCAGCAGCAGCAGTGGAGGGGGAGGTGGTAGCAGCAGAGGAGGAGATAGCAGCAGCGGTGGAGGTGTTGGATGTTGCGATGCAGCGTGATGGTGCGGACGACACTAAGGGCGGTAAAGTCGTCGAGGAGTGCCTCATGCAGCAGTTCATCACGGAGGAGTTCGATCCGGTCGTGGCGGGTATCACCCCGGGTGTGGCGAGGGGGTTAGGGATGTCGGATTCAGAGATGGAGACCCACTTCGACTTTGACATGTCGATGGGTGCTCCCCCTAGTCGCGGCGGGGCGGCATCGACGGATCGGACATCATCGAGGGACGAGGCGGCAGGCGAGACGAGGACGCAGACCCCGAGAGACAGGACGACGACAGAGTCTCGAGATACAGCACGCGACATCATGGAGCGAGAGAGGGCTCGACTGATGGCATCCAGCGACCCGGGGGCTTAGGCGTTCGCACGTGCCTTGGAGGAGCGCAGGTGTCGAGAGACAGGGAGAGATGGTGGCCAAGATGGGGCAGTGGTGGGGGAGGACGCTATGGAGGTAGTGGCAGCAGAGGCGGAGGAGGGTATGGAGGGTGGGCCACAAGCAATGGATGAGGCTATGGAGGGTGGAGAGGGGTGAGATGGGGGCCTGGAGACGCACCGGCGGCAGGTTATGAGACACAGACAGGTCCAATCGTCCCATTATGGTTCTGTCCACCGCCTATCCCGGCAGCATGAAATTTGCAAAGCCCCACACGGTTTGAGGAGCTCCTTCCGGACCCAAGGCCAGACCAGGACTCACCACGGACAGACCCAACTGCATAGAACTCGAAAACAGACCCCACTACCTTGCTAGCTCTTTTTCACACATGCACTCATCTGCAGACAGACCCAACCGCTCAAAACAGAAAACCCCTTTGCTGGCCACACATGCTCTTTCCCGTCGACAGTCCAGACTGCATAAAACTCAAAAGTAGGCCCCACTGTTCGGTAGCTCTTTTTCACATACGCACTCATCCGCAGGAAGACCCAACCGCTCAGAGCGGACCCATTTGCACAACACTCAAAAACAACCTTTCTGATGACCCGCTCACACGGGCTTCTTACTGCCACCCAATTCACTCGCACAAAACTCGAAGGCTAGTCTTTCCTTTCGAGAAGTTTTCTCCAGACTATCTACCACACCGTTGTTCACGCACCTGAGCCTCAATAGTACGTGATTGTCCGACTCACTGTCCGATTAGAGGGGAGGTTCTCCTCGGACCTCAGCCCACTCG